GGGGGGGGGGGGGGGGGGGGGACGACCCATCCCCCACCAATCAATCAATCAATCAATAAATCAATCCGTCTATTGATCAATAAAAAAAAAATAAAAATAAAAAAAATTCAATGTGTTTTGAGTATGGTTTTGTTTTTTATTTTTTTAAAATAATTTAAGTGCTCAAAAAATAAAAATAAAATATGGGGATGTAGAGAGCAAAAAAATCTACACCCCCATATTTTTATTTTATTTTTTAATTATTTTTTGCCTGCAAAAAAATATCCGCGGGCCAAGTTGTACCACGTTGTAACGGGGTATAACGCGAAGTTGAAACGGGGGTTAAACGGGAGTTGAACCGTTCAACTCGGAACCCCCGTTGAATCTGGTTTAGGACACATAGCCTACCGACCGAGCCACTCCAAGCACCTATTGACCGAGCCACTCCGAGAAGCTACCCACCAAGCCAGTCCAAGGACCTACCCACCGAGCCACTCCAAGCATCTACCCACTGAGCCACTCCAAGCACCTACTCACCGAGCCACTCCAAACACCTACCCACTGAGTCACTCCAAGCACCTACGCACATAGACACTCCAAGCACCTACCCACAGAGCCACTCCAAGCACCTTTCCACGGATCCACTTCAGGCACCTACGGACCGAGCCACTTCAAGCACCTACCCACCCCGCCACTCCAAGCACCTTAAGACCTGACGATTCCAAGAAACTACCGACCGAGCGACTCCAACGCACCGAGCCACTCCAAGCACCTACAGACCAAGCCACTCCAATCACTTACCGATAGAGCCACTTCAAGCACCTACCCCTTTAGCCACTCCAAGCACCGATATCGACAGAGCCACCCCAATCACCTACCGACCGAGCCACTCCAACCACCTATATTGACCGAGCTACTCCAAACACCTACCGATCGGAGTTGACGCAGCCATTGGCAGGGAGAGCGGTAAACGAACCAGTCCCTCATCACGGTGACGAGGTGTGGGCAGGCAATGCCGACGCGGGAAATCGGCGGTGCTAGCGCCGAGCATTGGCCATTCACCGCACCTCCCCCTAACCCCCCCCCCCAACCCCACGTGGCGGTGTCTGTGCATGTAGAGAGCAGTGGAGCGAGGCCCCACCTTCCTCCTTTTTCTCATTTCGACACCTGACACGTGGAATTGGGCCGGCTTTGCGGTTACTCTTCCGCTAAATTTATTTGATTGGCATGTCTTCTCCAGACTGCCACAAGGTACGCCTGTAGGCAGCTTTCCACCCCGAGAGGAGCACACCCTCAGGAGGAGTCAGTCGGACCAGCACCTCACTATACAGCGTTTGCATGCTTTTTTGTGATCTTTATGCGCTGTGAACGCTGGGGACAGAGGCAAACTTCACCTCCGGCTGTGTGTAAAAGTGATTTAACGGGCACTCTGCGTACAGTGCGGTGCGATCTGCTTAGTGATCGTGGTAGTCTTTGGGGATCGCAGGCGGGAGCTGCGAGAAGTGGCGTCCGCGATCTCTTCTTCCCCGGCCGAGGAGAGTGAGCTCAGGGGGCGACTCCAGGCGAACAGCTCCGGGAGCGGCGATTTTTTTTTTCTTTTTTGTGTGTGTGGGGGAGGGAGTTATCTGCTGCCATAGCCAGAACCGCTCATCTGTTGCCGGGCACGTGGAGACGAGAGCAAGGTGAGGCGAAAGGCGAAGACGAAGTGCATGAGGCACAGGCTTTTCCAGTCCGTGTCTACGATGGCGGCGATGGTGGTCCTGCTGATGCTGGGGCTTCTCCAGCTTGCCCTTCCTGGACTTGCTCAAAGTCCGCCACCTGGTACGGTAAAGATCGAGGACTTCGTCTATGCTGGCACTGGCTGTCCGCCTGGAAGTGCCGGTGGCATTATCTCCTTGACCGGAAAGCAGCTCACTGTAGCTTTCAGCGCATACAACGTGTCGACCCCAGGAAGTCCCGCAGGCCGGCGGAAAAACTGCCAGGTGGCCGTCAGCCTTAGCTTTCCTGCTGGGTTCACGTTTACTCTGGTGATTGTGACATTCCGAGGGTTCGCCGAGTTCCAGGAAGGCGTACAGGGTACACTGGTAGCGTCGTACTACTTGGCAGGTATTGAACAGACCGAAAGAGTTGTGAAGAACCTGCCTCCTCCCGTGCGAGACAACTTTAATTTTACCGATAGTTTCCCAGCATTCATCTATCCACAGTGCAACAGTACGTCGGTGCTGCTCAATATCAATTCCGAGGCAAGAGTGGTGCCTCCACCCCCGCCGATGAATAACAACGAGGGCGTCATCAACGTCGATGCTCAGGATCTGGCGCTCATCCAGCAATTTAGTCTGACCTGGCGGAGTTGCTAAGGGCATATAAATACTCGTACCGCAGCTTTTCTGGAGCATCTGGGGGCAAATGCAGCCAGATCCAGTTCAGAAAGTCGTACCGTGAGCATGCCCTAAGCTGATTTTATTCAGGCGTCAACAACCGGGCATCAGTGAGCTACTCGGAGAGAAGCAGAATGACCAACAGCGAGGAGATCAACTTGGAGAATAGTGGATTAATCTATCGGTCCACAGCGGCATTGTCAGGGGGCCGCGGTCAGCTAAGGAACGGCGACATCACTGACACAGGCGATCGGAYGTGTGTCCAATAGCTCAATAGGACGCCTAGTCAGTTGTGGAGCTGGTCAGTCAAGGACCATTATAATTTTATATAGTACGTATTTAATGTCTGGCAGGCGAGCGGTTTTGCACGTCCTGTAATTATTTCTAAGCCTGGAAAAGAATAAGCTGGCATGTAGCACTTCCGGTGGGGCAGACCCCAAGCCGAGTGCGAGAACTGTTGCCTAAAGATGAAGTAGGCGGACGTAGCGAACCACAAGGCACGCTACTTCTCTCTCTCTCTCTCTCTCTCTCTCTCTCTCTCTCTCTCTCTCTCTCTCTCTCTCTCTCTCTTTCTTTTGTTCGCTACCTCGCGTGCTCGTTTGCTTGCTCAATGCACCATGTGTGTGTGTGGCGAGGTGGGTGGGTGTGTGACTGACATCTTCAGTGTGCATGTCGACACCCACAGAAGGCGTTCAGCGTTGGAGTGAATTCAGAGGGAGTATTAGTGTGAATATGATCTCTTCTCGTAATGAAGAATCGTCTTTTCCGATAAATTCCTGCATATGTTCAATTTCTTGTAATCGGTGCATTGTTCGCCTGTATTATCGTGTTCGCGTGTCCCCCCACAGTCATGATCATTGGAGTGTGTCTGTGCGTAGCACGAGTTGTTGGTCCCTGTGGAGTGTATGCTTTGCTCGTACCGCCAATTGATCTGAGCCTTTCTTTCTAGTGTTTGCGCTCGCGGGTTCTCGATCTCATGGCGCCACTGTCTCTCAACGTTTTTTTTTTAACGAACAGACACACTTAGCCTTTGTACTCGCTTGTGCTTCAACGCCAAGCACGAAGAGTATTAAATGGAATACTCCGCCTGGAATAATTTCCTTTTCCGCAAAAGAGATCAGCGCGCAATCTATGTTCCTGATTTTTTTTTTTTTTTTTTTTTTTTTTTTTTGAAAAGGGGGGGAACAACGGAGAAACACTTGGACCATTTCTCGATTATGCATGTGTCATCCTTGAAAGCGCAGGGGCCATGCTAATCTTCTCTGTATCGTTCCAATTTTAACGGATGTCCCGAAGGACAAGATTGATTTTTCTTTTTCGTTTTCGTTTTTTACTATTCTTTGGTTTTCATTCCTGTGTTTTCTTTTTAGAAAAAATTGTACCCCTGGAAGCTCTCGTATATGGTAAAATACCCTCAAAAAGATGTGGGAGATGGCAACACCCCTCTGAAATTTCAAAGGAAAATTTTAAAAAGATTGCGAAATGCCCTTTTGGATTTACATCTTTGCTATCTACCCCTGTCAGGTGGAGGCGCACGTTTGCGTTTTTGCCCCTGACAGGCGTATAGCACAAACCTGGCAACCCCGTGCCATCGTTTTCAAATTTAAATCCAAGCAACAAGGGCATTTCACAAACTTCTGGAAATTTTCACATAAACGCGCCTGTGCAAGGATGACTGTCATAAATCCAGAAATGGTCCAGATTTCTCAAAGGGGAGAGGAAATTCAGAGGGGTTTTCCACCCTACCGGCACCTCTTAAATTAAGTGGTATTTTACCGCATAAGTTAACTTCCACAGATATTTCTCAACTTCTTCCCTTTTACTTTCCTGAAGGACTTTTGTATAATTATAAAAGAGCCCATCGCGCAAGGCAACAATCAAGACATCAATCAAGTTCCAACAGCGATGGACAAGACGGCACGGCGGCGGGTGTAGCCATGGACATCATCTTATCTAACTACTAACATCGAACAGGTGATTACACATCTTCCATCGTTTAAAATTTTGGCTCTCTCTCCTCAAGAACAGACAGTAGATGGAACTCAAAGAGCTCGACGTGATTAAGAAATCCGTACATACATGGACTCGATGATGAAGTAACTGCACCCGAGTGAGATAATTAAAGTCTAATCCAGTTCGTCCATTCTTATGAAAAAAACTCTGACATCATATAACTGACCAGCTCCACAACTGACTCGTCAATTCTTATGAAAAAAACTCGTAACACCATACAGGACGTGCAAAACCGCTCGCCTGCCAGACATTAAATACGTACTATATAAAATTATAATGGTCCTTGACTGACCAGCTCCACAACTGACTAGGCGTCCTATTGAGCTATTGGACACACRTCCGATCGCCTGTGTCAGTGATGTCGCCGTTCCTTAGCTGACCGCGGCCCCCTGACAATGCCGCTGTGGACCGATAGATTAATCCACTATTCTCCAAGTTGATCTCCTCGCTGTTGGTCATTCTGCTTCTCTCCGAGTAGCTCACTGATGCCCGGTTGTTGACGCCTGAATAAAATCAGCTTAGGGCATGCTCACGGTACGACTTTCTGAACTGGATCTGGCTGCACTTGCCCCCAGATGCTCCCGAAAAGCTGCGGTACGAGTATATGCCCTTAACAAATCTTCCAGCTCAGACCAAATTGCTGGACGAGCGCCAGATCCTGAGCATCGACGTTGATCACGCCCTCGTTGTTATTCAGCGGCGGGGGKGGAGGCACCACTCTTGCCTCGGAATTGATATTGAGCAGCACCGACGTACTGTTGCACTGTGGATAGATGAATGCTGGGAAACTATCGGTAATAGTAAAGTTGTCTCGCACGGGAGGAGGCAGGTTCTTTACAACGCTTTCGGTCTGTTCAGTACCTGCCAAGTAGTACGACGCTACCAGTGTACCCTGTACGCCTTCCTGGAACTCGGCGTACCCTCGGAACGTCACAGTCACCAGAGTAAACGTGAACCCAGCAGGAAAGCTAAGGCTGACGGCCACTTGGCAGTTTTTCCGCCGGTCGGCGAGACTTCCTGGGGTCGACACGGTGTATGCGCTGAAAAGTACAGTGAGCTCCTTTCCGGTCGACGAGATAATGCCATCGGCACTTCCAGGCGGACAGCCAGTGCCAGCATAGCCGAATTTCTCGATCTTTACCGCACCAGGTGGCGGACTTTGAGCAAGTCCAGGAAGGGCAAGCTGGAGAAGCCCCAGCATCAGCAGGACCACCATCGCCGCCATCGTAGACACGGACTGGAAAAGCCTGTGCCTGATGCGTTTCGTCTTCGCCTTTCGCCTCACCTTGCTCTCGTCTCCACGTGCCCGGCAACAGATGAGTGGTTCTTGCTATGGCAGCAGATAGCTCCCCCCCTCCCACACACACACAAAAAAAAAAAAATCGCCGCTCCCGGAGCTGTTCGCCTAGAGTCGCTTCCTGAGCTCACTCTCCTCCGCTGAAATGCCGTGGAAGAAGAGATAGCGGACGCCACTTCTCGCAGCTCCCCCCTGCGATCCCCAAAGACCACCACGATCACTAAGCAGATCGCAGCGCACTGTACGCAGAGTGCCCGTTGATGCGCCTTTTACACAGCTGGAGGTGAAGTTTGCCTGTGTCCCTCGAGAGCACAGCGCATCAAGATCACAAAAAAGCATGCAAACGCTGTATAGTGAGGCGCTGGTCCGACAGACTCCTCGTGAGGGTGTGCTCCTCTCGGGGTGGAAAGCTGCGACAAGGCGTACCTTGTGGCAGTGTGGAGGAGACATGCCAATCAAATAAATTTAGCGAAGAGTAACCGGAAAGCCGGCCCAATTCCACGTGTCAGGTGTCGAAATGAGAAAAAGGAGGAAGGTTGGGCTTCGCTCCACTGCTCTCTACATGCACAGACACCGCCATGTGGGGTTGGGAGGGGGGGGGGGAAGGTGCGGTGACTGGCCATTGCTGGGCGCTAGCACCGCCGATTTCCCGCGTCGGCAATGCCTGCCCACCTCTCATCACCGTGACGAGGGACTGGTTGGTTGGTGTCCCCCCGTACTATAGATAGACTAGCGAGAGGATGAGATAGGGCCTCGCCGCACGGCAGACACCGCCGCACGGCAGACACCAAAACGAAACGAGTGCATGCAAAATACACTCGTTACTATTTATAGCAAACAGATGAACCTGGCCATTTTTTGCGGGAAGATACATTCGTTTCTATTTTCGTTTCGTGTGCCGTGGGGCGACGCCAATAGATGCATACTGATACCACGCTCGGGCGTGGGGGCGCAGCCAGGATGGCGGATGGGCGACCAGCCCACGAGAGCTTCGCCGCATTTTTATAACATAACTTACCCCAAGCTCGTCAGTTCAATTCACTGCAAGGTAAATGTGTCATTGGAGGTAACTTACCGCCATGGCACGGCGAAAAGTGGCTTTGGAGGGTTGTCCTTCACCATATTGAGGTGGAAGTGTGGGGATCCGGAGTAGGTGGGTAGTCCCTTTCGACCATTGCAATCACGGCATGACGATCAATTCTTAGGCAGGGACCAGTTTCCAGAGGTAAGGGGATTAGGGCACAGACTGCTTATGATTCTTTGTGGGGAAAATAGATCATGGCCCAGAACATTTCTCAGCCCCTCTTGTTTGTCCACTTCAGGCCATTTCTGGCCATTTGCCATAACCCCCTTCTTACCCCCTTCCTACCGACCAGGACACTCTGTTAGTTCAGGCCACAGTAGGCCACCAGCGTAGCGAAGGTGAGAGTTGTATACACAGCCAGTTTCCTGGCTGCGAACTCCGACGGATCCAACATTTTGGATGCATCTGGACAGCTTTGACGGTCCCATACAATTTGAAGCCACATTCCTCGCTGCCAACTCCCACAGATCCAACGTTTTGGATGCATCTGGACAGCTTAGACCGTCCCATACAATTTGAATTGTTTCTCACAGGAGCTAGGCCCACGATTTGCACAGACGATGAGATCGGATTCGTTGTCGTTGTGGTGACGGACCGAAGCCGGACGGAAGCCGGACGGAAGTTTCCTGCGTCGTCAGCTGCTTGTTGCCGATGCCCATTTCCCATCTCCATACAAGCCATCCCTTCTAGCTGGAGCGATCTGGGGCACACAGTCCCAGTCTCCGTCCAGTGGTACTCTATGGGAGCAGGCGACAGTCAGACTGAGGAGGAGCCACCACCGCGAATCATTCAAATCACTCAAGAGTTGGATGATGATCTCTGGCTTGCAAAGCAATGGACTAAGCTGGAAGGACCAGACAAGACCTCACAGTTAGCAGCCTCATCTGACATATGCATTGAAGCTCACCAGCCATTACAATTGGTCAGGGTTCATACTTCACTCCAGAACCCGCAAGCCCTTGTTCACAGTTTGCTGATGGATGGTAATCCGCTGAGCAACCTCCGGATAGAGCCACTGGGTCATAGTTGGAGTTTGGCTGATGACAGGCAGGTCTTCCTCCATCAATATTCATCTAAGTGGGGAAGGAGAATTATTACCAAGGAGCTTGACCTTCCGGAGCAGGTGGCGGTCAAACTCAATAGGCTGGTGCATTCACAATCGGATCTGGAGCCGCGGGACGTGTGTCGGCTATGGGATCAGTTGAAGTCCATGCCTTCCCAAAAGCTCGCTTGTGATACGCAACCTCACGCCCCCTCGCAGCTTCCCGTACGGGGTCGCCGATCAGAGTTCTAGGAGGGGCGTGGCCGAGGATTTTTGGCCGTAAGGGTTGAGTCTCCCGGACGGAACGGGAGGCTCTCGTTTCCTGGCCGAGGTTTTTCTCGGAGTCGAACTGTCGTTGCGAAGTCCCGTGGCGGTCGGATTACTCCGAAACAATAAAATCAGAAGGGTTTCAGTGAAAATGAATTGCCGTCATGCATCGGAACGGGAAAAGGCATCAAGGGGAGGAGGCCATGGCGGCAGACGACAAAAACTCCGGTGTCATGGGTTCCGGGGATAGATGGTGGGTTCGAATCCTTCACGCCTCGTCATCGGCCCCACGAAGTGGCCGAACTCTCGGGTCTTTTGCTGTAGAGAGTGTTGGTTCGAGGCCTTCAAGCCTCGGCGTCGGACTCATAGAGCCCGCGCGAAAGTTTCCGGAGGGTAGAGCGGCGGGAGACCCGCCAGCATCTGAATTCGAAATTGCGCGGGCAGCGCCCCCGCACTACGGGAAAGCTCGGGGAAACGTGTCGCTCCCTCGTAACCCAAGACCAGCTGTCGCCACGAACATGAGTCCCCCTGGCGACACCAGCGACAATCAAACTG